TGGCCATGCTGTGGTGGGCATCTGGCCAGTCTGGATGTTGCTAAGGGAAAGGCTGGTGGGACTCATCCGTCCACACTTCTCTCACCCCCGCAGCAACAGGGCACTTCCTGGTGGTACTTTTCACTCTTTTGGGAGCTCCTGGAAGGCTACATTCCACAGCCATCTTCCATGCGCCGTGCAAGATCTCAGCACTAGGAAACTTTTGGGTTCTGCCACTTTATTTAAGATGGTAAAACGAAACAGCTTTGCCCCCTAAGGCATCCTAAATGTGACCAGGGTTGTTTGAATCTTTCAGAAACAGCTAGGGATTGGGGAGATGGCTTGGCCAGTAAAGCGCTTGCTGCACAAATGTGAGGACCTGAGTTCGAGACCCAACAACCCAAGAAAACAGCAGACATGGGGTTGAGTTCCTGTCATCCCAGAGCTGGAAGGGGGAGAGACGGGATCCCTGGGGTTTGACCACCTCTCTGTCTAGCTGAGTGGGTGAGCTCCATGTTCAATAGAAACTGTACCTCAGAAAATAAAGCACAGTGAAAGAGAGAGACACTAAACATTTACCTGTGGCCTTCACACACACACACACACACACACGTACACGTGTGTACACACACACATATACAACCAAACAAACAAACAAAAACAACTGTGAAACAGGCTACCACAAGATGCCAATGGTTAAGCTGAAAGACTCGAGGAAATGCTCTTTGTAAAACAAGCAGATAAACCGTGGAAACGCTGTACGTTGCCAAGCAAGGCTGGTCTTTGCCCTGCCAGCCATGCCTGTGACAGGCCACCCACAAGCTCTAAACGTCCCCTTGGCACCCGCTCAGGTTTCTAGAAGCACAGGTAAAGCATACCTTGGGGTAGATGGCTGTGCTGCATTTATTTTTATTATTTTTTTTACTTTTTTTTTTGGAGACAGGGTCTTTCTACATAGTCCTGGCTGTTCTAGAACTGCTATGTAGACCAGGCTGGCCTTGAACTCGTGGAGATCCACCTGCCTCTGTGTCTCAGAGTGTTGAGATTAAAGGAGAGTGCCACACACTTTTTGCTCTGTTGGTTTCATGGCGCTGAGAGGCGAGAAGCACACCCAACCAAGTCACCTTCCTTCCAGACTTTTATCTTGCTCAGTTCATTCCCACCTTAGGGTTTCAGAACCCAAAGTCTTCTATTTTTATTCCTTTGAACACACTGATTGATTGATTAGTTGGTTGGTTGAGGTTGGCTTTTTCACTGTGTATCCCTGGCCGGCCTGACACTGGCTGTGTGGACCAGGCTGGCCTCGAACTTGGAGAGATCCACTTGCCTCTGCCTCCCCCGTGCTGTATTAAGGGCATGTGCCACTACAGCTCTTGGGTGAACAAAGTTTAAACAAGTTGAATGAGAACAAGATTGTGTCAGAAAATGAAGTGTCCCATAAATTGCACAGCACCGCAGCTGCCAAGTTCACAGTTTCTGTCACTGGAATGCCTTCCCGGAAAGGACTCCATCACGGATCATGTAGAACAGCCCAAACCACGGTAGATCCCAGCCTGTCGGCATCTGCACACTCATTGAAGAGGGGAGAGATGAACTATTGAGTTCAGTCTCTCGTTTTCCTCATGGGCCTACGAGCCAAAACCCAGCCCTGTGGAGGTAGCAGATACCCACACACAGTTTTAATTCAGAAAATTCAAGCACGCACAATTGCACTCAGATCTGGTGCTGGGCCGACACAAGCATTTCTCCTGGTTCCGTGCACATGAGGCTTGGGTTTTTTTCCTAGAACATCAGAAACCATCCTAGAACTCAGGAATCATCCGGGGGTGTGTGGGAGGGTGGTGACTGCTGACTACCCTGGCTGTTCCCCCCCCCCCCCATCAGTAAACCAAAGGCCCAAAGATGAGGGTTCTTTGGGCAGTACGAGAGGACCAAACAAATGAAACAGACGCTAAGGTAAATGCAAAAGTTGCTTGTTGTTTTGCCCTTTCAATAGCCACTCTTACATTTCCAGAACCTGCCTCCTCCCGTGCCCTGTGTACACACTTTTACGCCTTGATAGCCAGCAAAGAGCCGGGGAGAGATGACGGCCCACTCCATTCAGAAAGACAATTTACACGGCCGTAGCTGGGCTACAAATTTTAATGCTTGTAAGCGTCACCTGTAAAGCTTGTAAAAAAAAAACCACATTCCCAGTCCTGACTCAGGAATTCTGCATTCCACAGATGCTGAGAGAGGAGACTGTTGTCTCAGAAGTGCACGCCTCATACCCCAGGCTGGCTTCCAGCATCCCTTCCTAAGCTGACAGATGTCAGGGCTCCCTGGACAGGCCATGCCTTTGCGTGAGATCCCGTGGGGGCCTTCACTGAGATGGGAGGAGGGACAGGGTGTTCTAGGTCATTGCCCAAAGCAGGCAAACCCTCCGAGGTCGTGGCTTTTCCAGGAAGCTACAGGGAATGGTAGGTGTGGGTGCTGGCGCTACCTCTGCCTGGCTACCTGGCCTTGACCCAGCCACTTCTCCCCTCAGGTGTGTCAGGCTCAGTGTCGCAGCGCTGTTCCCATAGAGTCACAGCTGGGGTGGTGACATAATGGCCTTCCTGCTGCTGGCCTGGCTTGACTCATCTAAGTTCTTGTGTTGAGTGGTATCACTGGGGATTGTGGGATTGGGCTATAGACGACCGTCCTGGGGGCCAGGTCCTCAAGAATTCCCAACTAGGACATGTGGCCAGGGACAGATCTCATGAGCCCGTGGTGACAGCAGACAAAATAGGGGCTTCGAAAGAATCATGCACTTTGAGTTTCTTTCATTTGAACCACTTGGCAGCAGAAGTGTCTCGGATTCTGGAGTTTGTGGGGTTGGGGTTGGCGGTGGTAAAAGTCTTTGATTCCCACACTAAGGAGGCAGAGGCAGGAGACTCTCTGTGACTTCCAGACCATCCTGGTCTACGTGGTGCTTTCCAGGTCATCCAGAGCTATATAGTGAGGCCCTATCTTTGAAAAGGGAGTGTGGCCTGGGGGTGGAGAGATGGCTCAGTGGTTAAGAGCACTGGCTGCTCTTCCAGAGGTCCTGAGTTCAATTCCCAGCAACCACTTGGTGACTCACAGCCATCAGTAGTGAGATCTGGTGCCCTCTTCAAATTCACACTTTTAGCTGAATCCTTAAACAAGAGTCATATATTTACTGCAGCATTTTGGGGTTTTGCATAGATTCACATAGCACACCCCTGTAAATTAGGAACCATGGTTACCTCGTGTTGCAAATGAGGAACTGAGGCCTGCCAGGGATGCTCTGTTCCCATGCCTGCACTTCCTTTTATTTCTCAGCATCTTCAGGGCAGCGATGAGGTCAATGCTAATGGACTTCTACCATGCACCCCTGACCTTTTCTGTCCTCCTGGGCCTTGCTCCCGTGGGCCCCCTTGACCTCTTGACACCTCTTGACCTGCCTGACACAGGCTGCTCCGTACTTATGTAAAGCTGCTGCTGAGTGTTTGGAGACCCAAGCCAATTAAAACAAACAAACAAACAAAAAAAAGCAAAAACCAGAAACAAACAAACAAAAAAAACAGAAACAAAAAAACATGAAGTAGGGGAGCCTGGGATTGCAAAGGAGGCCAGGAAAGGCAGTCTTACTGTGTAATAACTTGAGATAGGGCTGAGTGAGGAACATTCGGTATGCAGAGGGTAGCTTTGAACAAGCTCTAACAGGCACAAATCATGGCTTCTTGCTATGCCCACAGAATTGTGACGTAGGCAGGCAATACTTCTCACACTGGAATGGACTGAGATGTCTCCCGCAAGCTGATCTGCTTGAACAGAACATGTAACTGAAGTCAGTGTTTGTACATGGTACTAACACATGAACACAGGCCTTGGCCACAGGGAAGTTTTTGATTGGCTCAGGAGGAGAGAATCTGGTCCATTTCCTGGATTAGGGCCTGATCTTGCTTCTGTGCTTCTAGTCTGGCACAAAGAGATTCCTAGGGATGTTTTGCATGACTTTTGAGGATTTCAGCCCCTGGGCCCCACCGGATGATGTCTGCCTTAGAAGTTAGTGGGTTCGCTGATTGCTGGGGGAGAAAATAATTAGCAAATAAGCCATGGTCAGTGTGGAAGTGGGTGTGGGGTCCAGGCAGTTTCTGTGAGTATCTATTTTCTGCAGCTTTTGCTGCTATCAGAAATGGTCCAAAGACAGGCTATGTCGTGTCTTTCTTCGGGGCAGAAGCAGGATTGAATATCTTTCCTCTAACCCATCCTGTGTTCACCTTAAAGGATAGTCCTAGTCGATAGTCCCCAACTCCCAGGTCTCTAGGGGCTCCCCACAGCCTCCATGGCCCTGGGTGGGTGTTAATTGGATGGGGTTTTGGATTCAAGCACATGCGTATATGCAAAAGGCTTGCAAGTGTTTTTAATTCTCAAGGCACCAAATGTTCACCAAATCATAGGAAAGAATGGATCAGCCCCCTCCAATCTAATCAGACAGGTATTGGTGTGTACAGAGCTTTCTCTAATCTGGATCTTCCAGTTGCTACATCAGGTGCCTTGTGATATTTCGTCTGTCTCTAGTCTTCTAATTCCAACTAGCTGGTAATTGTATCTAGGAGCCTGGATGGATTTGATTCTTTTTCTGGTCAAGGCGTGCCAGTTGACCTCCCCTGACTGTCACACCCTGCTCTGCGTATGTTGTATGCATGTGTTAAAATGTCACAGTGTACCTCACAGATATGTATAATTCTATACGTAGATTAATATATATACACTATATGTAATAAATATATAGTAGGTTACTACTGTTCTGCATATCTGTGACTTAATCAGTAGTCAGTTATTAGAAATAGAAAGGCCCGACTCTAGGTGATGTTTTATTAATTAATATTTTATTTATTCTTTGAAAGTTTCATACATTTGTAATAGGTATTTTTTTTTATTTTATCTGTCCACCACTATCTGCCTTTGGTTCCCACTTAGGTCTTCCCAACTCTATGACATCATTTTCCATTGTTGTCATTTTGTTGTTGACTCCCCAAGTGTTCCTCCTTCAGCAACCAGTAAGCGATGGCTCCTCCGCCAAGGATGAGGCCTCAGTGTCCCGCCGCATCCCTGCTGGAATTCTGACTGCTTGATTTTGTGTGAATGAGCACAGCGGCTGTGAGCTGATGTATGTAATGGCCACGTCGTGTCCTGCTGTCTTCCTTTCGCAGCTCTCCTCCCCATCCTCCAGTTCTCACATCCTCTCCACCCTCACATCTGTGACATCCCCTGAGACTCGGATGGGGAGACTGATATAAACCCATCCACAGCTGAGTACACACAGACACCTATACTCGGCACTTCGGCCAGATCCAAGCCTCTGTGTTAACTAGTACTCATTGTAAAGAGAACTTTCCTGAAATGTTTTGATTGTGACATGTTGATAGCAGCAAGCATCTATGAGGGTTTTTTTTTTGTTTTTTTTTTTTGTTTTTTTTTTTTGACACAGGGTTTCTCTGTAGCTTTGGAGCCTGTCCTGGAAGTAGCTCCTCAAACTCACAGAGATCCACCTACCTCTGCCTCTGGAGTGCTGGGATTAAAGGCGTGTGCCACCACCGTCCAACACATCTAAGAGTATTTTTTAAATAAATAAATAAATATATATTTATTTATTTATTTATTATGTATACAGTGTTCTGTCTGTCTGTCTGTCTGGTGCCAGAAGAGGGCACCAGGTCTCATTCCAGATGGCTGTGAGCCACCATGTGGTTGCTGGGAATTGAACTCAGGACTCCTGGAAGAGCAGTCACTGCTCTTAACCTCTGAGCCATCTCTCCACATCTAAGAGTATTAACAGAGAGATTTAGAATGCATTTTGACAGCATGGCCCTTTAGCAAGAAGACAAGAGCAGGTTTCCTGCCAGGGTCTATGATTTTCCCAGTCCTGGGCTTTGGACCAGCTTTAGAGTAGCAAGCATAAAATCCCTCCAAGGGAGCAGGCCCCATATCCCATGAGAAAGTGGATGGTTACCCCCATAGCAGTCAGACCATTATTGAACCAGTGGGCACATCTCACCAGGTAGGTTGTATTGTAGCTTGCAGGGTCCAGTGTTGGATGAGACCATTAATATCTTTGGTGTTCCAGTAGCCTGCACAGCACATCTCAGGCAGGGGGTGTTGTGTTCAGTTGAGGCTGATTTCTCTATGTCCTGCATCCAAAATCAATGGTGTCTTCAGCAATAGGGTCTTACGGTGGGCAAGTGAGAGCAATGGCAACAATCTTTGTTCTTTCGGGGGTTTCTGGGGCCTCCCTGATGAATAATTTATAAGGAGGTATCCTATACTAGACACAGAGATGTTCAATTAATAACCAATATCTTCTAGGAGCAGCATTGCTTGCCCACAAAGGGTACTTCTGCAGCATGTTCCTCCCAACATGGTCCACCTCGGGGAGACCTGTGGTCCGTGTCCAGTGTAAGCTAAGAGCTAACGTTCCGTCCTGAGTGTTGACACCCTCGTGCATGGACTCCGCATTATGATTTTGCTTGTACCTGCGGGTTTAGGGCACCCGGTTGGTCATCATCTTTAAAAGAGGCTTCTAACTGTTTTATTTTATATATTTTTATTTTTAATTGTGTGTGTGTGTGTGTGTAAATGCAGTGCCATGGATACCAGGAGAGGGCATTGCATCCTCTGAATCTGGAGTTACAGGTTATTGTGAGCTGTCTAATTTGGGTTCTGGGAACCAAATTCCAGCCCTTTGGAAGTGCCAGAACAGCTCTTAACTGCTGAGCCATTTCTTCAGCCCTTTGTTTTGTTTTGTTTTGTTTTGTTTTGTTTTTGAGGCAGGGTCTCACTACATAACCAGGGAACTCTCAAACTCAGGACCCTCCTGCCTCAGCATCCTGAGAGCTGTATGAGTTTTTAATTATTATTTTTAAACCCTCTGCCTTGACCTTGCTGATCCAGTGGAAGGGTTCCTTTTTTACTGTGTGCAGGGAACCTCAAGAGTTCACAAAGCAGGGGTGTGGGAGACTGAATGTAAACCGAGGCCCAAGTTCTTCTTGACTTTGGTTAGGAATCTCAAAGGAGTTTCCAAATTAGGACATCTTAAAGGGCAATGAGCATCCTAAGGGGAAAAAAAGATCCCAACACTCAGGAGACGGAGGCGGGAGCACTGCTAGTCTGAGGTCAGTTTGGGCTACACGCCATGAGCCTGTCATTAAAAAAAAATGAATGAATTAATTAAGAGAAGGGGCAAGAGGAGGAGAGGAAGAATTAGGAGGCTGAAGATGGAAAAGGAAGAATATGGAGGAGGAGGAAAAAGACTGAGGAGGAGGAGAAGGAGGAGGAGGTGGAGGAGACAGAGGAGGAGAAAGATGGAAGAGGAAGAGAAGGAGGAATCAGCAGCACCTGAAAAGTCCCCTGAAAGAGTCCGTTCCTACTTTCACTGGAACAGAAAGGCCCTCTGTGCCTTAGGACAAGCCAGGCCATAAAGATAAGCCCTTAAGCCCTTCTACTTGGAAAGCCTTATCAGTCTTGGGTTTGGGGAAACGCAGCCTCCCAGGAGGACTCAAGTGCTCACCTTGGACTTTATAAGCCCGTTCTCTCAGTCTGTGGTGTCAGGGCTCCTGTGTCCGTGAGGGAGGGGAGGGTGGCCCCCACTCTGGGGTGGTTGAAAACTACACCCTCAACCAGTTTCTGGGGTGGGAAACTGGTTAGCGGTGATGCCAGGCCGGCTTCTTCCAGGCCCTCTGTACTTGGGGTAGGTTTAGGGGAGCTTTCTCATTATCACCCTGACCTCCAGGGGCCCCGGGCTGCTGGTTAATCATTACTGAACAAGGGCTGTACCCCTGGCTCCAGGGTCTGTTTTCACAGCGCTGGGTTTATTACTGGCCAAGGGGCCTTGGCCATGTTTGGATTATGCACTGACAGGCAGCCAATTGGCTCTGGTTCAGCTGTCCCCCACGCCAGAGCCTAGCCTCTCGTGGGAAACTGGGGTGTCTGGGTTGGTTGAATCCCCTTCCCTATGCTGCTGATAGTCACTAAAGCACCTCAAGTCTCCACTGTGAGAAAGCCACGGAACAAAACTGCTGCCCTGGGAGGCCCAGACTGTGAGCAGGAAACCAGTCGGAAGGCCAGAGAGGCCAGCGTGAGTCATGGCCACCTTCCTCAGGGACTCTGATCCTGAGCTGACATCTGGACTCACGACGGTGCATCCTGTCCTGAGAATTATCTGCTTGGTGATTTACACACACACACACACACACACACACACACACACACACACACACACACACCATCCACAGAGGAGCAAAGATAAGCCTGGGATACTGAACACATACCCTGAAAAAGCTCTCTTCTACAGTGCCCCTGATAACCACGGGGAAGCCCTTAGTGATTAAACGTCATTGGGTAAGCTTGACCCCTATGTCACACTGTATGCAGAATGTGGCACCCACTGGTCCATCTGCATCTGAGCTTCAAGCTCCATGGCATCTCAACGCCTGGGCCCATGGGGACCCTGACAGTCTCTGTCCCCCTGTCTGCTTTCTCATTGTCCTGTGATCAGCCATAGCCTAGATTCTTGTCCTTCCAGTTTGTCTTGTCATCAGAGTTGGGCCACTGTGGGGTATCCTGGGCTCAGGGTACCTGGCTGCCCAGCTCCCCTCTGCATGAACACAGGGCACAGCTCAGGGTTGTAAACTGTGTGCTGCCTTGAGTCTCTGGGCAATGATTCAGGTCTAGGGAGGTACTGTCCGTGAGGTCATTCCCCCTGGCTAGGGCCTGGCTCCCCTTCCCTTAGAGAGCTTCAGGTAGGTATTACAGAAGCGAGCTGAGTTCAAAGGGGACCCGCATCCCGTCAGAATCGCAGGGGTAGAAATTCGTAGAAAACAAGAAGGACTAGCCACTCTCCTCTGCTTCCTTCCCCCATCTGTGTTTGATGAGGCCTGCTCAGTGATGGATATTGGGGGTGGGGGTTGAGGCTTGACCACCTGCTGGGATCCCAAGCCCCTCCATGGCCCACAGCTCTTTGGCTGTGTGTGTCCTTTGGTCACCGAGCAGGGCTCTGCTATACGAAGACAGGTGAGAAGGTCAGGTGGGTCCAGCATAACCCGCCTGGGCCCGCACGCCTTCTCTTTCTCTTCATCCTAGAGACACCTCATCTCCCACCCTCTTTTTTCCCTTGACAGCGACGCCCTGCTATCTGTGGTTTAGGCTGGCTTGGCACTGCTGTAGAAAACAAATTACAAAGGAGCCAATGTCAAGACTTAGGGACTACTAAGGCGTTTAAGGAGGAATGGGGTTCCAAAGACAGGACAAGAAGCCTGGCCATTGCTTCTGATGTGGCTTCTTATATAACAGAGCAGTGAGCATTAAAGGGGCAGGGTAGGGGCTGACTGGTTGAGAGTCACCGTGTGCTCACTGTGTGCAGCGAGGCCCAGCTTCCAACACTGTCATGGCTATGACATTTGGCCTTGTGTGTGTCCACTGTGAACCAACAGGAGGGTGGTGGGGGTGAGGGTGTTATCCCCCTCCAGAAGAGCCCCTCCGCCCTCCACCTCTGAGTTTGTTTGAGTGGAGTTATGACTGTGGTGGCAGACAGTGACTCTGAGAAGCGACTCCTTGGGATCCTGTGAGGGCCTCACATCTACGGCCCCTCATAAGCTCTTCCTCAGGGTTTGCCTTAAGCTCGTCAGACAAGACTTGGTTATTACGAATAGGGCTTCCTTCTATTACCTGGTAGATAGTGTCAACTTCCCGTAAGATTCCCTTTATCAGCCTCTGTTTTTATTAATCCTGTGGCTGTGGATGATGAGGATCTGATAAAAATAGCTGGGTGAACTATTGCTGCAGCAGCCTCCTTAGATGTTTGCTACCGTGGTCCGCGTCCTGCAGTGTTGGAGCCCAGGACTTTACAGTGAATGTACGGCTGAGAGACGGATAGGCAGATCCACGGGAAGTGTATACGTCCACGTCCACATGGAACAACCCGTTATGCAGAGGGGCTCCAACACCGCAACAGACACGTGTAGTGTTTGAATAGTCTGAGTCTCTCTCTCCCCCTTCCTGTCTCCCTCTTTCATTTTTGAGGTTGGGTCTCACTGTGTAGTCCAGACTGGCCTGGAACCCACAGAGATCCATCTGCCTCTGCCTCCCAAGTGCTGGGATTACAGAGGTGCCCGTCTACCCGCAACCCCTGCCCGGGGCACCGCCAGTAGTGAGAGTCTACAGTGACCTTCCTGATGCTGAGACCCTTTCATACAGGTCCTCGTGTTGTGGTGACCCCATCCATAAAATTATTTTTTGCTGCTACTTCATAACGCAACTTTGCCACTGTTATGAATTGTGATGTGCATATCTGATATGCAGGATATCTGGTATGTGACCCCCTAAAGGGTGGCGACCCACAGGTTGAAAACTGCTGGTCTAGAAGGCTCCGCTCTTTACATTTTCCTGCAAATGCAGCTGATCGTGAAAAATGTTCTTAGCGAGCAGGGCGGTCTGTGTTCCCTGGAAAAACAGGGCAAATCTAGCTGATACAATGAGGAGGCCAGTTTGAACCCGTGATGCCACTGAAGACAGCCCAGCAAATAGCGCCTGGTGGGAGACACGGATTTTTAAGATCTAAAGCTTCCTTCTCCCTTTCTAGGTCTCTGGTTTTCCTCGGCCACACTGCTCTGGGGCACACAGGAGGGAGGAGACTCGAGGCATGTGGTGGTCCTGCCCATAGCAGGACACACACCCGAGCCTCTCTTCGTTTAGTCACAGCTTTGACTCTGCATTTACATCGGGCACCTGCTTGTTGATGGACTTGAGTTAGACATGGGACTCGCAAATAAAAAATGACTTTAATTGCTTTGCGTTTTATGAGCGAGGTATGTCTCGGGGCAATAGAAAGAAAGCTGCACAGAATGCTGAGACCTGATTACTTTCTTTTTCTTTGTCTTTCTTTTTCTCATGCCGGCATCCATCCTAGAGTGTTGAACATGCTAAGCAAGTGTTCTACTGCAGGGAGAGAGAGAGAGAGGGAGAGAGAGAGGGAGAGAGAGAGGGAGAGAGAGAGGGAGAGAGAGAGGGAGAGAGAGAGAGAGAGAGAGAGAGAGAGAGGGAGAGAGCGAGAGATCAGCACCATTTCTCAGTGCTGGCTTTTACAGAGAACGGACAGAGATAATCAGGGAAGCTCCGCCTAATCTTTCTTCTCTTCTTGTCCTAAGTTAATTGTGGACAGTCACATCAGTGGTTTTTAAGAGCAACGTCCTCTCCCTGGGTCCTTGGTCATGGGTAGAGCCTTTGCAGAGTTCTCCGTGGGAAAAAAATATTGAATTCCTCGCAGCGGTCACACTGGGAACCCACTGGTTTCTAATCAGTTGATGCTCAGTGGTTGTGACAGAAGGAGCCTGGCTTAAGGACAATGAGGAGCTTGTGCTGATTCCTGCCTGGGAGGTGACAGAGGCCCATGAGCTAGGGACGTGAGACATACCTGAGTTTTCACAGCCTCTGACAACATATAAGCAAAGCGGGGATGAAGCGCCCCATCTTCTCATGGCTTTTGCGTCCATTACTACCAGGAACTTCCTGCTCCTGAGCTTCAAGGGCAAGGGAAGTGAGGTAACAGCCCCATCCCAGTGACCCCAAGGCCTTCATCTTTGTCCAGTCAGTCTGCCACACACACTGGACACTCTTGGTTTAGTGTTTATTTATACATCTCTCTGTCTGTCTGTCTGTCTGTCTGTCTCTCTGTGTGTGTGTGATAGAAAGAGAGAGACAGAGAGACAGAGAGAGAGCATGTTCCTGTGTGTGAATGCAGGAGCGCGCATGCCTCTGTACATCCTTGGGCATCCGTCCTCAGTTCCCATCCCGTTTTGGGGTCATGGGGAGAGTTTTCTCTGTTGGTTGCCACCGCTCTGTGTTCCAGGCCAGCTGGCGGTGAGCTTTGGCTGTGGGTTCTCCTGTCCATCCTGCTCTATGCACATTGGGAATGCAGACACACACCGCCTGGAGCTGTGGTGTCCCAGGATGAGAACTCAGGTCCTTAAGCTTGCGTGCCAGGCCCTTTTACCAGCTAAGCCTTCTTCCTGGCTCCCACGCCGGACACGCTTTCCACACCACTGCATTCGGTATGTTCCTGCACACATAGCCCCTACGTCTAAGTCACATTTATGACCCACTGGCTGGTACTTGGCCTCTCTTTCTGTCTCTTCATTTATCTCTGCTTGTGCTGTGTAAAAGTCAATACTACATGGACATTCCCTTCTCAGACTCTGGGCTGGCTAACTCAGAAGAGAAGTGTCGTGCAGACCCAGCTCTCATTCAGTCCCACCCAAATCCTTTTGTCCCCAACACAGATCCTTTTGTTGCAACTTCCCCATCACACTGTGCCCTGGCCTCTTCTGCTGCAGCCCAAAGTAAGCATCAGATGGGGAAACACAGACCAAGATTTCCAGTGTGGCATGAGTATACCAAACTGTGCTACATCTGAAGACCTTCCCACCTCACAGAAAGCCCCACCAAGGCCCCGCTGTCGTTGCAAAATGGAAACAGCACAGGCAGGCATGTCTTTTTATCTGTAGCAGGGCATCGGCTCCAGGACCACGCAGCTATCAAAAGCCCAGGATGTTCTAACAATGTTTGCAAGAGCACACAAGGGCTTGACTTTTAATACCTAATATAATGTCAATCCAATGCAAATACTACTGTACTGTGTTGTTTAGGAAATGCTGGCAAGGATTTTCCCTTTA